TATACCTTGTATCTGTTCTTAATCTATACTAACTTGGATCAAGGGGGCAAAAGTATATTATACTAGAATCCAACAGGATAGAATTTTCCTGCTGAAATGGCAGCTGTGTCTTGAACCTGGTGGATTCCTGTATATTTTCATTCCAGAGAGAGAGAGATTCAAGGTGGGGGACTTATGGAATAAGATATGATTAAGAGTATAAGACGTGGGGCTGGATGGGTAGCTTAGGCAATCGAGTGCTGGCCAATGAGCAAAAGCATCGGATACTGAGTTTGAGTCCCAGTCAGGGACTCAGGGCAGGGGTGGGGTGGGGGTGGGGGAGTGAGACAGAGTTTAAAATGTGTCTAAGAGAGTCAGCACTATAATTCAGAACCAAGGTCACTAGGCTGTGATGGACAGGAAATTGGAGACTAGGACAGGAAATTGGAGACTAGGTGATAGTGGGCTCTGGCGTTAGGCCAGGGTCAGTTCAAAGTAGGGCTCTGCTGCTTTCGAGCTGTGTGACGTTGGGCAAGTTCCCTCTCCCCTCTGAGTCTTCCAGAGATAAATTGAGCACTTGCTTAAAACAAAAACAAAACCAGGCACCGGTAGCTGTAATCCTAGCTACCCAGGAGGCTAAGATCTAAGAATGGAGGTTTGAAGAAAACCCAGTCAGTTAAAGCAAGTAAGACTCTTGTCTCTAATTAACTAGCAAAAGGCTGGAAGTAGAACTGTGGCTCAAGTGGTAGAGTACCAGCCTTGAGTGATAAAGTGAAGGGACAGCACCCAGGCCCTGAGTTCAAGCCCTAGAACATATATATATATATATATATATATATATATATATATATATATATATGGCATATATATATGGCATATATATATATATATGGCATATATATGTATATATATGGCACAAGGGAATGCAAAGGGCACAGGAAACTCACCACAGATCAGCCTAGATGCTTCTAAGAAGCAAGCTATGTTGGGGCCTCTCTGGGTCCAAATGAGGCACAGCCGTAGTCCTCTCCACCATGGCTTTCTTCTCAAGAACAATCCTACCTGTGCTGACGGCCCAGGTCCAAGGCTCCCCTCTGAGGAGCAGAGGCACTGGAGCAAGGACAACCTGTGGACCTGTGGCTGCTCCCCAGGGATGCTGGTCTCCTCCCCCTAAGGACATCTAGTTGCATCGCTGCCAGCTCCCTTGTACAGAGCCCTAAGCAACCCTGCAGTGAGACCCATGTATCCAGGGACAGCTGTCTGGTGCTGAAGTGTCCTGTCTGACACCAGCTATTCCTGGATCCACATCGTCCCTTGGCTCCACAGCCCCCCAAGACTCCTCTCCCAGCTCCTGGCACACCAGCCCCTCCCAGGCACAGGGGATCATGTCTTACTCTGGCCCGGGGAGAACTTAGAAGGACCCCTTTCCTGGGCCTTCTGTTTGGAGCAGAACTAAAAGGATAGTGCATTGCCAGGGCAGCGGGGAGCAGCCTGGGATCAGCCCATCCATGCATGAAAGCTACCGAAGACGCTGGTTTGAGGGCTGGTCTAGCTACCATCACATATATACAGAGAGAGACAGACAGACAGACAGGCAGACAGGCAGGCAGACAGACAGACCCACAGGGCCAGGGCTGAGTTCACCATGCACCCAGTAGGAGAAGCCTTAATGCTCAGGTGTGTGCTGAGGACCAGCGGTGTCAGCTTCCTGGGGAAACATGCAGACTTGGGGAAGCCCAGGCCTCATGAGTCAGGACCTGCACTACTGCAAGATCTCCCTGAGTGGAAAACACAGGAAAGTCATGGACATGAATCTCTACCTCCTCCTCCCCCTCTCCATGGCCCAGCATGAAGTAAATTCCCAGTTCACTGACTGACTAATTGAGTGAAGGAATGAAGCCTTGTTCCTCTGGGCATTCACACCTACTACATCCTGTTACATGACCTGGACTAAATTTGAGTTCAACAACCAGGAATTCAGGAACAGGCCCTTTAAAGGTTGATGGAATTCGAGAATAAGCACCTGCCCCCCCCCTTACATTAATGGAACAAATAAGTTGTTAAATGATGAGGTTTACGAACAGAAGACCTGGCGGGCTTTTAAAGGTTTTCTACTACTGGTTTCCATGCCATTAAACCTCAGAGTACACTAAGAGAATTTTGTTTTAAGGCTGGTAATTTTGTATTTGGGATAGTATTTGGGGAGTCTTGGATACAAGATCTAGGATGCTGGAGTCATGGCTGACCCCACCCTCACCCCCTCAGACAAGAGGGATTGCAGGGGAGGGTCTTGGGCCTTGTGCTCGTCTGGGCCAGCTTGCTGGATCCCTTCTCTCCAGGCCCCTCCTGACCTCTCACTCCTGCTCTTCCTGCCTGGGGCAGGAGGAGGCCCTGCTCTCCTGGCTTCACCCCTGGAAGCCTCTGAGCAGGGGACTGCCAGGGGACTACAGAAGGGGAGGAGAGGTGAGAATTGGTTTCTAGCAACAAGAGGGACACTGTCTGGACCTGTATGGGGGAAGGGGAGACTGTAGAGGCTGCATGGCTCAGGGAGCCCTAGTTCTAGCTGCACTCTGGAACTAAGGGTCCCCCTGTTGCCCAGTGCCTCAGGGTGCTGGCTCCCACGCCTTTCATTCCAAGGAAGTGCAGTGGCACCCAGGAAGCTAGAAGCAGGGGAGACTATGACAGTGACGGAGCACAGTGTGAAGGAAACTCTCTGGACCCAGCACCAGCAAGGGTCTGCCTAAGTGGAGATCAGAAGAAGGAAAGGTCTTCACAGCTTCTTGGGTGCTCCCAACTAGGACTCCATAGAAGCTGGAGACATTCCAGAACTCTGCCAGCCATGTCTATTCCTCCAGCTACCCAGGGGCATCTGCATCCTAGCTCTGCTCCCTGCTAGAGAATAACCTTGCAGTCCTGTTGATTCCAGGACCTGGTGAATAATAAAATATTACTCCTTTATGCACACAGTGTAGCACTTGCATATAAGCTATTACACCCTCCTGTATGAGTTAAATCATTTCTGGATTACTGATACTGACTTTTCATATACTATGAAAATATTTGTAGTGAATTATCTTTTTTTTAAAAAAAGCCTATACTCATTCAGTAAAAAGTTATATAAAGTGTTATATATATATATATATATATATATATATATTGCAATAATCAGGGCCTACTGTCTAACTACTTGAACCACGCCTCTTTTGCCTTCGCTTTAGTTTGCTTTTCAGCTAAGGTCTCACTTTAACTTTACGGTGGTTTTCCTGCCTCCAGTACCAAGAAGCTGAGATGATAGGTGTGTACTACCATGTCTGGTTCTCAATGAATTTTTTTCCCCCGAATATTTTTGGTTTGTGATTGACTGAATCCACGAGTGTGGAATCCACACAGGCAAAGGGTCAGGTGTAGCTGCCAGTTTGGAGAATGCCTATAAGCCAGGAATTAGAAACTTCTCAGCAACTCTCTTTGATGAGTTCTGTTAGCCCCATTTTATAAACAAGGTAATCGAGGCTTCCAGGAGTGACTCTGAGGGCCTCAGCTTAAGGAAGAACAAGAACCAAAGCAGGTGGTCTAATGCCTAGTCCTTCTGTCCCTGCAACCCTTCCTGTATTGTTTTCTATTCTGCTCACAGTTGTACAGAAGTCTAGCCATGTGTGGCAATGTGCTCTGTTCTCTCAAGCCAGAGTCAAGATGGCTTGAGGTAACTATTCCCATTTGAGACTCTTTCTCCAGCTCTGGTGGTTGTTGGAGTTCAATTCTTTTATCAGTGAAGAACTTAGGTCCCTACTACCTTTTCCTTTCCTTTTCTTTTTTTTTTTGTCAGTGGTGGGGCTTGAACTCAGGGCCTGAGCATTGTCCCTGAGCTCTTTTGCTCAAAGCTTTGAGCCACAGCTCCACTTCCAGTTTTCTGGTGGTTACTTGGAGATAAGAGTCTCATGGACTTTCCTGCCTTGGCTGGCTTTGAACTGTGATCGATCCTCAGATCTCAGCCTCCTGAGTAGCTAGGATTTCAGGCATGAGCCACCAGCGCTCAGCCCCACTGCCTTGCTGTCTTCCCAGCTGGGAGCTGTGTCAGCCCCTGAAGGTCACCACCTCCTCGCCCTCCATCTTTAAACAGCAAAGGAGAAGAAATCTTCCTCTCATCTAATTCTAGCGGTTCAATCTTCTTCAAGAAATGCCCAGTCCTTTCCAAGGATTCCTATGATTAGAGACTCATCCCCCATGACCTTTCTGGGCATTCAGGAAGCTAGAAGTAAGGGCGACAATGACAGCGACAGACCACCATGCGAAGGAAACTCTCCACACCTGCACCAGCAAAGTGACAACTGGGCCACGTACCAGAACCCAATCAAGGGCACACAGGTCCTTTCCTAAATCCTCTGATTGTAGATTATAGTGGTGTATAATTATATAGACAATCCTCTCTGCTAACCTGAACAGGTGTTGGGGAGACATCTATTCACCATCAATTTTGGAGCTTTTCCATATTTTAACAATGGCCACAGTCACCATATTCTTGCAGAATAGTACTCAAATATGTTGCTATGGGTGACAGAAATGTCTCCTCCATTACTTTCACTCCAATCTCATCCATGTCCCACACTTCAGGGAAAGCAGATGTTGGCTCAGCAGATGTGAGAAAGGAGGAATGAATGGATGAAGATGCTTGTGACCCACATTTCATAGATAGAGACACTCTGAGCTTAGACATCCAGCCAGTTCTTTCTAAGAACATCCACTGATCTCCAAGCCAAGCTTCTATCAAGCTACTACACAGGCTCCCAGTGTTCTAGACCGCCCTATGACATGGAGCCTTCTCCACTGTGATGGGTGTTTTTGGGCTTTTTTGAGATCCCTTTAAACGGATGTCACATTCACTCATCTATCATCTAAAATACAACTCTTTGTGATTTGGTTTCTTTTGAGTCTCTTCATCCACTTGTGTTTTATAACAAAGGGATTAAGCCTCTTTGCTGGACTTGAAGCCTTCTGTCTGAAAATCTTTCATTGTGTCTCCACAGGCACAGGGGAGGCTGGACGAAGAGCAGTAACAAGGTGAGCAGTAGAATAGGATCTACTCAAGTCGGTGCTTGTCCTATGTCCTGCAGAGAGCAGCCCGCAAGCTGATGCCTTTCTCCCTGCCTCTCTCTACACACATTTCTGCACAAACCCAAGGTTCAAAGAGGCAGTGCTACAATATAAACAGCGGGGAGTCTGGGTCTGCATTTATCTCCTTTGCTGCTTTATGGTCAGCTCCCAGCTAGAGGGCTGAACTATAGTAGTTCCTCAATTAGAGTTTCCTGAATGGATACCTAATGAATAGACTCCATAAAATCTGATTAAAGTTCATCTTTGTTGTTCTGAAAAATCTGTTTGGCTTGATGGGCACACAGACTAGAGACCAGGGCTTATAGGATGGGCATGTAGCTTACCATACAAAGAAATCTGAATCACAGAGACCCTGTGCCAAGCAGCTAAATACCTACCCTGCAGATTGGTTTCAGACTGTTGGCTTAGATGCTCCTTGCTCTCTCTTCATGTTTAAAATGAGGCTCATGGACCATTACAGTGTGTATGTGTGTAGGGGGTTGTAGGTGTGTGTCTAAGCCAGTACTGGGGCTTGAACTCAGGGCCCAAGCACTGTCCCTTAGGACTTTGGCTCAAGGCTGGTAATTCTACCACGTGAACCACAGTTCCACTTCCAGCTTCTTACTGATTAGTTGGAGATGCAAATCTTATGGACGTTCCTTGCCAGGCTCACATTGAACTGTGGTTCTCAGATCTCAGCCTCCTGAGGAGCTAGGATTATGGCTATATGCCATCTGCTCCCAGATTACCTTATATTTAAATTCAAGGAGCATTTATGAATATATACAACTTGTATATATGAATATATACAAGCCTTATGATGGAGAGACATTCTGGAAACAATGCACCATCTTTTTGTGCAAACATTTTAGAGTTCATTTATACAAATTAAAGTGGCTAAGATGGGTCTAGCACTATGGCTCATGCTTGTGCTTCTATCTACTTGGGAGATGGAGATCAGGGATGATATTCAAGGCCAGCACAGCAAGAGTTATCAAAATGCTATCTTAATAAGTGTGGTAGTGTGAGTTTGTGATCCCCACTATACCAGAATCATAGGTAGGAGCAAAAGAAAGAAAGAGAGAGAGAGAGAGAGAGAGAGAGAGTCCTCTTCAAAAACTAAAGTAGAAAGGACTGAGTGTGTGGCTCAAGTGGTAAATAGCCTGCCAAGCAGGCATAAGGCCGACTGTTTATGCCAATCATCATTGATCAAAGTGTCTTCATGCAGTTCATGACTGTGTGCATAAACTTACGATTGTATCATATATGCTTTCTGGGAGTCATTGTAATACCTCTCAGAGCTGAACATATTGTCTGAGATTCACAGCAGAGGAAATTGAGGTGAGAAAAGTTAAGATTTTTTTTTCCAGAGATCACAGATCAAGTTGTTGAACACTGAGCTAGAATTCAAGCTCCACACTGAGTGGAGCAAGGAATCCCTGCTACATGGAGAATGTGTACTAGTCTTAATGGGAACTAAACAGCCTTTCCCTGTCTGCCAGCTGTGGAGTGTTTTCAGACCTGGCTTGATGTGTCCTAGAAAACATCTTTGTATTTCTACAGCAGCACTAGCCTTCTCCTACAAGAATGCATGAGAGTGGGTTTAAAAATAAAGAAGGAAACAGTGCAGAAAATCAGCACAAAGCTGTTTTCCCTCCAGAGTGGAGGGCAGGAGCGAACACTTTCCCAAGTGCCCTGCCATGACTCATTCTCCCAGCCCTGCCCTAGCCCTGCCCAGCATCTGTGGCTGGGTGAGACACCGTCTCAGCCAGGGTCTCCAGGAGTTCATAGGGCTGGGAAGTTGGCAGCATACCTCACAAGCTCAAGGCACTACAAAGAAAAGCTAGTCTTGGTCCTGAACCAAATTGCTTAAACCCCTATTCCTTGCAACCCAACCTAGGAAGAGAAAAGTCCTGTGTGGATTCTGCCCAGTAGCCCTACACATGGCCATCCTGATCTCATTTGTCTTCGTAATGCCCATGTTTCAGAGCAGGGAGCAGGTGGCTTTGTGTAGAATGGCAAGTGGCTAATGGATGGCTAAGACAAATAGCCTTTAGAATCACTCTTACCTATGACATTTAAAGGCTACCTTGAAATGGCTGCAGTCACTGGGGTAGCAATAGATAAGGCCAGTCAGTTTTCTGACTTACTCAGCATGGGTGAGATCACCTTGATTGGCCAACGATGCAGTGGTTTATAGGACATTCACAGTGTGGCTCTATTCATTTCCTGGCATTCTATCTACCCAACCCCATGGCTGGAGTCACCCCCCAAAGTGTAACAGAAGCATTCTCACAAAGGACTGTGCCAAGCTATGCCAAGTTGAAGAAAGTATTGGAGCCCAAGAGGGTCAGATGAGAAGGTTTACTAGGGGAACTTGTATCCCCAGGAGAGACAGCCCATCTGCAGTGATAGTGCCCGGTGTGAAGTTTTATGGGGATTTAAGGAATGTGGCTCGGGTCCAAGGCTACGAGTGAGGACCGTGTCTGATCTCTCAATGCTTAGAGCAACAATCAAAATCAGTGTATCAGTCTCTGGAAATGTTCAGGGCTTGAGTTTGAGCCTGTCTGGGAAAAATAGCAACAGGTCAGGTCACAGCAAACTGTTGCTGTTTTACAAAGAATGACAATGGGGTGGGAAGGAATGAAACTCAAGAACATTTTTATAAAGAAAGATAAGAGTGGCATTATCCTGTCAAGGGATATCTCCCAGAATTGGAGCTCATGGAATGTTCTGGAGGGGGCAGTTTATCAATCTAAGCTTGAGTGATAGAACATCACTGCCTGTGGATCACTGTACAGCTGTGGCCATACGGTGAGCCCCAAGCTATGTGAGCTCTGTTATTCTCATCTGAAAAATGGACCCTTTGTAACTGTCTAGTAGACTTGTGGAAGGATTATGCATACATAATCCTACTCTGAAGCTCATTTATATACATATATATGGATTACATATGCATATTTCTTACACATTAGCTGGCTTGTGGCATTCAGAGATTCAAGCAGCTCTCATTAATTTGCAGAGATTCTTCGGGTCTTTCTTTATTTCAACCGTCCTGAAAACATTTAAAATGGATTTCAGCTCATTGGCAGGGAAAAAGTAAACTGGATACCACAGGTGTTCTGGGTGTCTCTTTGAAATGTGACATAACCTCCCAAACCAGACTTTTCTTGAAAGGCTTGGGGCACGAGAACATCTCAATTTCTTAAGGAATAATTAGATCAAAGTTTTAAGGGTGGAGCTACGCAGCCATTTGTCATTTTAGTGAGCGCTCAGGCGGCCAGACTCCCCACGCAGACAGCAAAAGCTACCACTTGGTGAATCAGACACACACCGCCTTTTCCTTTCTGTCTGCCGCTGAAAGAATTAGATGAAAGAAAAGAGGCAGACAAGTATAAAGGACGGAGCACAAGCTGTGCACCAGGTAAGCAGGAATCCAAATGTCAGCTTTAGCACTTTCCTTGTGTGGTGACCTAGGGATGATCACTTCCCTTCTTTGGGACTCTGTTTTCTTAAGTTATCATTTGTTCATTCAGAAAGTATTTTTGAATACATAAGGCTGGCCAGACAATGTTCTAGTTGCTTGAAATGTATTCAGAACAAAAGGACCCAAGATTATATCTTTGTGGGACATACCTTCTAAGGGAGGGAAAGGCATCATTCAAAATCCACAGAATACACAGTACAAAAAGGGATGGCTATTTTGGTTACAAGTGGCACTCTGTCTATAATACATAGCATAGAATATGCATTTATACACTGTGGTCCTTATTATTTTTCAAATTATTGCCAGATTTCTTGAAATATTTTACTTATTTTATGTATACCTTGCCCCTATTTATTTGTTCACTCAACAACATGTGCGTGCGTGTGTGCATGCGTGTGTGTATGTGTGTGTGTGTGTGTGTGTGTAAGTGTGTTTAAGCCAGTACTGGGGCTTAAACTCAGGGCATGGGTGCTGTCCTTTAGCTTTCTGGCTCAAGGCTAGCGTTCTGTCACTAATTCAAGGGTAGCTCCACTTCTGGCTTTTGTGGTGGTTTATTGGAGTTAATAATCTCCTAGACTTCCTGCCATGGTTGGCTTTGAACAGTGATCCTCAGATCTCAGCCTCCTAAGTAGCTAGGATTATAGTTGTGAGCCACCTGTGGACAGCTCAACAAACCTTTAGAAGATCACCCATGAGTGCCCCCAGGTCAGAATGACCATGAATCTTCGGTCTCTGGGAATCACAAGAGCCCTCTTCACTCACAATGATCTCTTTATCCTATTTTATTTTTATTAACTCAATGTGCCCCAGCTATGGCTGGTGACTCTAGGAATGCGATGAACCAGGACATGGAGATTGGAGTAACTTCCCAGAACCCCACCAAGATTCCCAAGCAGGCTCGCGATTACATACCCATTGCCACCGACCGCACTCGCCTGCTGGCCGAAGGCAAGAAGCCCCGCCAGCGCTACATGGAGAAGAGCGGGAAATGCAACGTTCACCACGGCAACGTGCAGGAAACTTACCGCTACCTGAGCGACCTCTTCACCACCCTGGTGGACCTCAAGTGGCGCTTCAACCTGCTCGTCTTCACCATGGTCTACACCATCACCTGGCTATTCTTTGGTTTCATCTGGTGGCTCATTGCATACATCCGGGGCGATCTGGACCACGTTGGTGACCAAGAGTGGATTCCTTGTGTGGAAAACCTCAGTGGCTTTGTGTCTGCTTTCTTGTTCTCCATTGAAACGGAGACAACCATTGGCTACGGCTTCAGGGTCATCACTGAGAAGTGTCCAGAAGGGATCATCCTCCTCCTGGTCCAGGCTATCCTGGGCTCCATCGTCAATGCGTTCATGGTGGGTTGTATGTTTGTCAAGATCAGCCAGCCCAAGAAGAGAGCGGAGACGCTCATGTTCTCCAACAACGCGGTCATCTCCATGCGGGATGAGAAGCTGTGCCTCATGTTTCGGGTGGGAGACCTCCGCAACTCCCACATCGTAGAGGCCTCCATCCGGGCCAAGCTCATCAAGTCTCGGCAGACCAAAGAAGGGGAGTTCATCCCCCTGAACCAGACCGACATCAACGTGGGCTTCGACACTGGCGATGACCGCCTCTTCCTGGTGTCTCCGCTCATCATCTCCCACGAAATCAATGAGAAGAGCCCTTTCTGGGAGATGTCCAGGGCTCAGCTGGATCAGGAGGAGTTCGAAGTGGTGGTCATTCTAGAAGGAATGGTGGAAGCAACAGGTAAGACATCTGTCTTCTTCCTAGTCCAGTTACCCTTGCCAGGAGCAAGGGTCACTGGGACACCCGAACTGGAAAGCTTGTATGTAAGAATCCTGAGGTAGCCTGTCCAGTCTCTAATGTGATTTGAAAGGTTCTGTCACTCAAGTTGGAGTCATGATAAATGACTGCATTGCTGGGCTTGTCCAACTTTCAGGAACAGATCTAAAATGTAAGCACATATACAGGCTAGGAGCCTCCCACATCCTTGGAGGATAGAAACAGAAGCCAAACAAGAAAAGGTGCTCCCCTGACAGCTACAAATAACCCTGAAAAATCTGGGGTGATTACAGGAACTGAGGGGTTTTGTTGTTTGTTTGTTTTTGTTACCAGTACTAGGGTTTGAACTCAGGGCCTGGGCATAAGTCCTTAAGCTTCTTTGTTTGAGGCTGGTGCTCTACTACTGGAGCTATTCCTCTACTTCTGACTTTATGCTGGTTAATAGGAGCTAAGAGTTTCATGGACTTTGTCTGCCTGGGCTGGCTTCAAACCTTGGTTTTCAGATCTCCTTAGTAGCTAGGATTACAGGTGTGAGCCACTGGTGCCGGACGGGAGCTGGTTCTTTAGAGTAGGACCTCATGATTCCACTATGAATGTTATCTCCAGGAGATGACAGTTTGCCACAGGCAGCCTTTTCTAAACTCACAGGGATTTGCACTCTTCTTTCTCAAAAACACCAAGGAGTCAGACGTGAGGCAGGGACTATTCCATTGGCCCCTCCCTGGAGCAACTTCCCCTCAGCCTTCCTCCCTAAGCCAAGCACAGCTTCTGTTTGCAGTAATCAGTGCATCCACACAGACGTGTGCCAATCCACTTAGGTATGCCTGGAAAGATGTCTTCTTTGGGACCAGTCTGGCGCTTTCCTGTTCAGCTGACTCTCACGGGCAGCTGGGAGCTGAGGGCTTCCACGTGTCTCAGACACACTGCCCTGTTCAGCAAATGGCTCTAAGGTGGCTCGCTCCAGAGAACATGGTTCCTAAGGAAGCTTGAGGTCTGGGATCCACACATCCCATCCCACATTTTGGGCAGGGCTTCCTCAAGGAGGAGAGCCTACGTCAATATACCATCCTTCTCCTCCTCCTCCTCCTCCTGGTCCTCTTCCTCCTCCTTGTCCTCTTCCTCGTTTCCTTTCCCTACTCTTTCCCTCCCCCCTCCCTCTCCCCTTCTCCCTCCCTTCCTCCTTCCCTCCCTCCATCCCTTCCTTCCTTCCATCAAGTAGACTGAGCCTCAAGCCAGGCCCTCCCTGTGATGTATAGAGAATTCATCCATCCTCAGAATGATGCACCTTTCTATTCTTCTCTTTCTTGCAGACAACAGGATAGGGTTTGGTTTCCTTGAAAGGCTCAAGCAGACACTAAGTGCTCAGATCCAGGCCTTTCATTTTCAAGTCTACCCCTCAATGTTAAGGCCTGCTAGTGGCCAAGCACACTTGCCTAGCCTTTGAAAGCTGGATGCTGAGTGGGGGGACTCAGCCGGGGCTCTAGTTTCTGAGTCAGTGGAACCAGGCAGGGGTGCTGACAGGCTCTAGGGACAGTGCCAGAGGGGCTGCCTGGCCATCTGCTGGGGGCCGGAGCCTGAACAGGAAGCATATGGTAGCAGCTGGGAGAGCCCTTGGGGCTAAGGACAGGCAGAATTCAGGAAGCTGCCTCTTACAGAGCCAGGATGCCCAGGTCACTCTGCCCTTGGTGACAGAGTCACGATCAGAAAGCAGGCTTACTTTCTTGGGATTTGCTCCACTGTGAGGTCAAGAAGGAAGGATCAAGTAAAAGGGAGGGAGGCAAAGAAACATTCCCACAGCTTCCATCTCTGCTAGTGGGGAAAGCACCCACATGCCCCCAGAGATTGATTGCTCACTCTGCCCACTGTCTCCTCCCTCCAAGTCAGAACACTGACTTGTCTGATTTGCTTGACCTCCTCCCCTCAACCTGGGCTACTCTGTCTCCATTATGAGAGACAGGATTCCACCCCTTGGGAGACCCTGGGAGTCAGGAGGAAAATCACTCACCTAATTGTTCTGATCTTAAGCCAAGAGTTTAGTTGGTTTGAGGAGCACATACTCTGTCACAGCCTACTTGGGTGAGCTTGGATTCTTGCTCCACTTGTCAACCCATCAGGAAAATTAATCCCATGGGGTTGTTGGGGAAGATGTAATGGCTAAATGGAGCACCAGAGTTAATGTGTATTCCCTGCCATTGTATGTGGTAAAGTGACAGAATGAGTCACGAGCAGGCTGGCACTTAAGCAGGACCTTTAGCTGCAAGGCAGCTCACTAGAAAATGAGTAGGCAGAGCTCAGCAAGTTGGTCCCAAAGGCTCCCAAAGAGGTCCTGGTCCCAGTGGCTCTGGGTGGGAGCCTATGGTTTTAGATTGGTCAGTGCCCAGTTTAGAGGTGGACAGTTATATTTCTGCTGGGGCTAGGGAGTGTGCAGAAAAGAGTAAGGATTGAATGGAGACACCTGGCCTAGACAGGCCTCCCCATGAGAACTAAGAGCAGGCAAAAAGCCCATTAAGGTTGGGGTCCCGTGGGGGGGTGTCTGGACACTGGAGCACAAGTGGGTGGAGGTAGCCTTTGGCTTGGGTTTGATTTGTATAATACCCCTCTCAGAAAGGTGCCCAAAGTGCACAAACTAGTCCTTTCCTAAGCTCAAAGGATAACTAGAAAGCTGTTTTCCTGTGATCCTTATGTTCAAAGGCTTCCTCATCCATAAACAAAGCTGCCCTCCCTCTCTGGAGAGAGTGAGCAAGCGAGCAATACCTAAAAATAACACGGGCATGGTAAGGGCTGTGTGGGGAGGGCGTGGAGGCACTAGAGAGCATCTTCAGATCAAGAAGTCTGTCGGGGAGGGGGTGACTGCTCCCCTTCCTGTGTGTACATATATATGTGCATGAACATGCATGTGTGCAGGAGCATGCAGGCTTCTGTCCATATTGTGGTTACTCCAAACAATCCCCTTATGTTCTGAATTCTGCCAGCTCTTCTATGTTTCCCCCATTCTGAATTCATCTTGGTTTTAGCCCCTTGTCTGCCTCCCCTCCTGTCTCAGTCTTCTGTACCTGAATGCGAATTTCAAGAATCAAGTGTTTTCCCTCAACTACCTCCCCCCAAATTATTCACTCTTATCTCTAGAGATGTTCTCTGGAATTTTGCATGTTTGCTTCCAGTTTTCTGTCCCCATCACATTGTGAGCTTCTCCAGGACAAGGACTAGGTCTTATTTTGCTTTATATCTCTGGTTGTTTAGCACAAATAGATGTTCAAAAAATGCTTACTTAGAAATGGGTACAGATCAATCGTACAGCATCTGCCTGAAGACATGCTTAATGAATGGTAGATTATTGAATAGGTGGAAGGAGGGGTGAATGAATAGATGGATGGATAAGTAAATGGGTGGATAACTGAATGGACTGATAGATTCCTGGCTAGGTATAAAGATGAGTGCATGAAGGATGGGTACATGAGTGGATGGATGGATGAATAACTGTTAGACTGATAAATTATTGAATAGAAGGAAGGATGGGTAGGAGGATGGATAGATAGGTAGATGGGTGAATGGATGGACAACTGGATAGACAGAGTGCTGGATAGATGTAAAGATGGCTGAGTGAAGGATGGGTACATGGGTGGATGGGTGGGCAAATGGGTGGATAATTAGATAGAATGATAGATAGATGGAGGGATGGGTGGGTGAATGGATGGATAATTAGACTGATAGATTGTTGAAAATATGGAAGGATGGGTGGGTGGGTGGATGGACAGTAGATTATATCATAATGCACGTGACATCTATTTTCTCAGGTATGACTTGCCAAGCACGAAGTTCTTACATGGATACAGAGGTGCTCTGGGGCCACCGGTTCACACCCGTCCTTACCTTGGAGAAGGGCTTCTATGAGGTGGACTACAACACCTTCCACGACACCTATGAGACCAACACACCCAGCTGCTGTGCCAAGGAGCTGGCAGAAATGAAGCGGGAAGGCCGACTCCTCCAGTACCTTCCCAGCCCCCCACTGCTGGGGGCCTGTACTGAGGCAGAGCAGGATGCAGAGGCTGAACAGGATGTAGAGGATGTGCTACATCGGTCCCAGGAGACCAGGGGCTCAGTGTGAGGACTCTTCGCTCTCCACAGCTTCCCCTTGCCACCTTCCAGGCACTTGCTACAAAGTAAGGGAGAGCAGAAAGGGCAGGTAGTTGAGTGTGCTGTTTGGGGGCCCAGACACTGTGGACCCCAACACTGTGGAGGGAAGCAGCATATATACCCACCCTCCCGTCAGGCTCAGGGACCAGGCCTAGGCCCCTGGGACAGTGATGCCTTTTCTCAAGCTTCTGTCAACACTAGTTCAAGGCTGGGCCAGGTAGGTTTCCCATGGTGAGAGTGGCATTGTGGCATCTCTCTTCTCTCCGCTTACTGGCCCCAGTCACTTCCCTCTCTGGTACTCAAAGGCCTCCCTAGAGGCTCTCAACCCCCTGCCCCCATCCCCGACCTCCTACCACTGAGGCATGTCCATAGATCAGGGAGGATCTATTCTTCCAGTTGGAGACTCCAGCTTCTAGCCTGGAGTTCACCCTGAGCCCTTGTGAGCTAAGGACTCGTCCAAGTCATGGGGGAACGTTTAAATATTTAAATCTGAGGCCTTGAGCCATTTACTAAGAGCTGCAGAGTGCAAGCCCCACCCCGCTCTGTCATCCACTGAGTATGCGTGTTTTCTATACTGCGGTTTCTACTATGACCTACTGGGAAACAGAGTCACTCAACTACTGAGCACCTAGGAACACAGGTACAGGCAGCATGCCATTGTCCAGCTCACTCACGCTCAGCGCACGGTGCCCTCTACTGTCCATCCAAGGGAACCCTGGCAGTTCTTGATTTTTTTGTCTGTTTGTTTGATTTTTTGGTAGGATTTTTTTTTTTTTTGGCCCAAGAACCTCCTTCATTGTAGTTTTCTCTCACAACCCAGAGTGCCTGCAATGAGATCCTGAAGGAAAGCTGAGTTGGAAAGGGTCATGTGTAGCACTGAGATGGGGGCGAGATAGAGAGGAAAGGAAAAGAGTGGAAAACTGGACATGATGGCACACGTCTGTAATCTCAGCGTTTTTGGAGACTGAGGTGGGAGGATCAATCTTTGTAGGACAACCTGGGCTATATATAATAAGATCAGATCCTGTCTCACCAAAGAAGAGGAGGAAGAGGAATCTTCCCCAAAACCTGCCTCAGTGCTCAGCACACCTTGGCTATCCAGGTGTATAGTAGGATGTGAATCAGATCCGACAGGTGACTGAAGAAACAGCTGCACTGTCAGGCCAGGCTGGACCAGAGTCTCTGGCTGGTGCTGGGCAGCTCCTGAATCTTACTTCAACAGGATGGGCTAGGCAAGAGAAGAAATATGAGGACCAGGGAAGGGGAGGAGAAAGGCTGCTTCTTCCTACCCTGGGAAGTTGGTGTGAGAATCCAGGAAGGAAGAACGTTAAGAAAGGGAGTAGAGAAAAAGCCTTATAATCAGTGTAAAGGACAAGGAATACAGATTACCAGGCTGATGAAGCACATGTTGACAAAAATCAGGCCTGTGATTCCCTGGCTTGATCCTATAGAGAGAAATCAGATGTTCCCAGACATGGAATTACACACACACACACACACACACACACACACACACACACACAGCATTCACAACTCTCACATGGCCTTGGAGAATCAAAGCATTTGCCTTCTCCCAAACCCCAGCTCCATTCCCAGGTTCTGGCCCCACATGGGGGCAGAGGGCTCATAAGGGATACCTTGTTGAATTCAGGCTGGCCTCCTAGGTTCTGGGCTGGAGGGATGAAGGGGAAGGGGTCCTGGGATGGGCTCTGACCCCACGCAGGAGTGGGAAGTCTTGTGCTTGACAATGGGTTGGACGTTGAAAGGTGGACAATGTGGCAAGTAGAGATCTCTGCAAGTCCCTCAGGGACAGGACATTGGGGCTGTTGTTCCAGGCATCTTGTTGTTAAAGCTGATCTTGCAGGGAACAAGGAATGAGCCTCTATTCCCCTCTCAGGAGAAAGGGAGGCAGGCATCTGAATGCACCACAGTAGATAAAATACATGCAATCAAGAGTCTAAGACAAGGGGGCTCCCTGCTAAGACTGGGTGCCTAGGATGGAGGAAGCTGCAGCTAGACCCCTTCGGCTGGGGCTAACGTTCAGCCCTGGCTCTAGCAAGATCCCAGGCTAGAGGGTAGAGAGCAGGGTAGATAGCTGGTCTTAGAACCAGTTCGTGTCTTTGGTTATGACACTAGTTGTTATGGTAGTGAGGTAGGGATGGAAAGCTGCAGAGGAGGCTGGATGGAAACCTGGCTTCTGTTTCATATCTGTCTTCCTGTATGTTTTGGAGGCATCGCCCGGTTGGACAGATGAGCCTTTCTGCCGTTCTCTAGCTGCTTGCCGCCTCCAGAAGCCACAATCCTTCTCTGCCAACTCTAGAAGTTATAGAAGTGATTGAAGAAAGGAGCAGTACAATCCTATTCTAAAGCTTTCTGAAAGACCAGAGCTGATGTGTACTGAATTCGTAACATACAAATCCCAATGTGCTTACTCTTCTTTCTACCAGCTGAAGACTGCCCTTCCTATCCTAAGGAAATCTCCACCTTCATGACTAGTTGATCTAACTAAAGTTTCAAATGTTCAAATCATTTTCTAGAAAGTGGGCCTTTTTTTTGGTTTTCTTTTATCTTGCCAGTACTGGGGTTTGAAATCAGGGCCTGAATGCTGTCTTTCAGCTTTTCACTCAAGATTAGTGCTGTACCACTTCAGTGACAGCTTCACTTCTGGCTTTTGTGTGATTAATTGGAGAGAAGAATTATAGCTTTTCCTGCCTGTGCTGATTTAGAACTGCTATGCTCAGATCTCAGCTTCCTGAGTAGCTAGGATTGCAGATGTGAGCCATCAGCACCTGGCTAGAAGTTGTTGAATAAACATGGGACAATTAAATACAGAGTCTGATGATGGCTGGTGTTTCCCTTGGTAACTTTCAAATCACTGCTCCTACATACAAACCACTTGCTCTAGGTCACAGTCTTTATTTCATGGCCCTGAGCCCGTATCTCACAGATGACCACAGAAAGCTAAGCCCTACTTTAAAGACTGGGTCCCTCAGACTGAGCCACTCCAAAATCCTAAAGAAATAGCACACCTGTCAGACCCTAAAAGTTTGGGGCACTGACTTCCTGCCTTAACTCTCATATATCCTCACATAATGGAGAAACTTCAAGAAACTCAAGAAGATAAGTGCTCACAAGTTTTCTCTCCAATGGTCTGGTACCTGCTAGATGTTGTACTATTGCCACAGGACCAGGGCAAAAAGGACATTGACCACGCCTCTTCTGTTCAGATCCCGCCCCCCATGGCTTCCTGTGAGATCAGGGAGGCAGCCCATCATTTCTTCCTGCTACTTTGAGATCTAGCTCCTGTAGCTAGCTGACCTTGTGGGGAAGATACCCTGTTTGTCTGGTAGCTTGTCCTATGTACCTTTATTTACACTTCTAGTTTCTGGCCTGCCTCTCAACTGTGTGTCTTCTGTCACACAAGGACCATGGCAACTTGAATTGTTTGTATTGAAGTTGCAAAAAATAAAAGCAAAAGTTGCCCACTGTGTTTTAAGACAGTGCCGTGAAAATATCTCTGAATGTATACCACTGAATGAACACAGTAGGCACTTCTGGATATTGGCACTTGATTTTCAAAACACTGCAGAGAATGCCTATGAGTCCCCTTGTTACCAATAAGCCTGTGGAGGTACAGAGAGGTTCCCTAGTTTGCCGAAGGCCAGAGATGAGGGGCAGGGCTATAGTATCAAGAGCTTCTCAGGGTTCCCTCAAGAATAAGGAAAGACCCACCTCTTTGGATGGTGCCAGGATATGTGTGTGTGTGTGTGTGTGTGTGTGTGTTGCTGTAAAGCTCAGCTCCATCCATCAGCAACATTCTCCTGTGGCCAGATAATTGGGAAACGCCTTATTCTGATTCCCAGAGAACTAATGAGCTGTGAACAGAGACGAGACAAAGAAGAATTGCTTTCCGGAGAGAAGCCACTTTACTCTGCTAGACTTAGTTTTTTGCTAATGACATCTCCTTAAACTGCTGGGCCCCATCTTTTCTTCTTGTGTAGGATTTGTCAGTCTTATGAAAAAGGACACCATTACACTGCTAAAAATAACACCTAGTAAAGTAGATTTGACCTTACAAAAAGAACTGCCTCCTTTAAAATAGATGGCCACCTGGTTCCCATTCAGATGCATTGCCACTTTGAAAAAATGCCCTTCATGGTTTGCTTTGGTTTAAAAGGGCAACATAAGCAGCTAGATGGAAACTGAGGTGGATGTAGGGGCAAAGGTAAAAGACAGACCAGACCAGAGGGCTACAACTGCCCCAGGGATCAGGGTGCAGCCCCAAGAGGCAAAGATCAATTCAAGATGGTGGCAAATGCAGCTAAGCACTGCAGTATGGAGTCACATAGTAGCCCATTCATTGTGCCCTCAAGTAACACCCACCTGCTCATTAATGCTAAATACTCCAAATCTACATCACCAGAAGTCATGAGTAATTTAAAAAATATGCTCTTCCTTTGAGACCTTTAAAAATACCAATGTAGGGGATCCTGGACGGATGGCCTGATTCACATAATGACTGATGTTAAGAGCTGTGGAAGGCAACAGAGGAAAATGTGGTGGTCGTCATGACCACAGTCTAAAAGGCAGTATTGTAGGTTGGGGATGGGACAGCACACCGCAGTGTGTGCTTGCATTTCCCACGACTTCCCAGTGTCCACCCTGCGTAGTGACCAGACAGAAGCTAATTAGCCCACAGAACCTGTACTGTCAGAGGTACAAAACCACTATCAGCAGTGGGCATGAGCTCCTGGTGACACTGAGGGCACTGCCTTCCAGAACGGACAGAAAACATGAGTAGGTCTGAAGTAGCCAGCACTCCCTTTTATTTGGGAACTACCCTGCAAGTATGGTTCAGTTACAGTCCCAATAAGCAACATATATAATGTTCAGGAAGACCTGTGGTTCCTAAATGGGCACATTTGCCAGTCAAGCCTGAATTGCGATTTGAGGAAGAACCAGACTGATTTACCCAATCAAAAGCAAAACACTGGAACATTACAAAAACCCACCCTAGCCCAGAAAATCCATCTTGCTCTACGAGTTAGAAAATCAGCATTGGTGTGCACAGAGCCTCA